TATAAGTAAATTAGCTAAATGACCGTAGTTTGTGTACTTTTGCGGAACTTTACACGGTACGCGCATATAACTTATCGTCATTCTGAAAATTTCATTAAATTCCAACGTGTAGTTCTTGGACAAAAATGGAAAATTGTCACCTCGTTAATAATTCGTTACACTGTGTGTGTGTGTGTGTGTGTGTGTGTGTGTGTGTGTGTGTGTGTGTGTGTGTGTGTGTGTGTGTGCGCCAACGTGCGCGTTATTTAGTACTTTAAAGATTTATAAAGTATATTAAGGGGAGGTAGAGAACATTTATGTTAATAAAAACGCCCCTCCAAACAATAGCTGTACATTGTAATACCCGTAGCTACAACCATTGTAAAGGGAAGAATCAACAAAAAACAAAAAAACAACAATAATATCGAGGAGGTCTGTGTCCTGGAATAGTTCCGCATAAGAGTTTATATAAACTCCATTGGATAGAGAAGCTGGTTGATGGGAAGTAACAGGCGACTAATCTTAATTTAATCTTTGTCGACGTCATCCAATTTAGATGATGATAATAATAATAATGAGAGTTTGCTAAAAATGATCATGGAGCGAAGTGGTAGGGGAAAAATCGAAGTGGGTAAAAAGTGAAAAATAACAATGAAGGGGCGAGAGCTGTAACAAAAGTTGTTGACTAATTAAAGCGGGAAAAGTGGTAGAAAAACGAGAGGAGAATGGAGAAGAAGAGAGAGAGAGAAGGAGAAGAGAGAGAGAGAGGAGAATGGAGAAGAGAGAGAGAGAGGAGAATGGAGAAGAGAGAGAGAGAGGAGAATTGAGAAGAGAGAGAGAGAGGAGAATGGAGAAGAGAGAGAGAGAGGAGAATGGAGAAGAGAGAGAGAGAGAGGAGAATGGAGAAGAGAGAGAGAGAGGAGAATGGAGAAGAGAGAGAGAGAGGAGAATGAGAAGAGAGAGAGAGAGAGGAGAATGGAGAAGAGAGAGAGAGAGGGAGAATGGAGAAGAGAGAGAGAGAGAATGGAGAAGAGAGAGAGAGAGAGAATGGGAGAAGAGAGAGAGAGAGGAGAATGGAGAAGAGAGAGAGAGAGGAGAATGGAGAAGAGAGAGAGAGGAGAATGGAGAATGGAGAAGAGAGAGAGAGGGAGAATGGAGAAGAGAGAGAGAGAGAGGAGAATGGAGAAGAGAGAGAGAGAGAGGAGAATGGAGAAGAGAGAGAGAGAGAGGAGAATGGAGAAGAGAGAGAGAGAGAGAATGGAGAAGAGAGAGAGAGAGAGGAGGAGAGAAGAGAGAGAGAGGAGAATGGAGAAGAGAGAGAGAGAGAGAGAATGGAGAAGAGAGAGAGAGAGAGAGAATGGAGAGAGAGAGAGAGAGAGGAGACTGGAGAAGAGAGAGAGAGAGAGGAGACTGGAGAAGAGAGAGAGAGGAGACTGGAGAAGAGAGAGAGAGGAGACTGGAGAAGAATGGAAAAAAAGCAGTTTATTTCTTTTGTTTACTTCTCATCTTCAGGTGTGTTGCTAACCATTAGTTGTGCAACGGGCGGGAATTAAGGTAATATCAGTATACGCAAGCAGGGAATGTATGCATTGAAGGTGTGGAGTGTGGAGTGTCGAGGCACTGCTGCTTCTAGATCGCCTGACGTCAGCACAACTGACGTCACTAACATTGTGAACAGAGGAGGAACAGTAGTGGTGGCGGCCATATGCCCAACATTTTTTTTTTCTGGCAGTCGACTGGATTTGCACTAAGGCTGATCGAAAAATCAATATTGGCAAACCACTGCACATTGCTTACGTCAGAATCCACACTCACCCCTTTCACTATTCTTTGTTTTCACCCTCTTTTTTTGTTCGTTTTCTCTTTCATCACTGAATTCTTTCTTCCTCCACATACATTCTGGCTCCATATAAATAGACTTTAATTATTAAAACTTGGAAAACAAAGTTATTTTTTTTTAACCCACCACACTGTGCCTCTCATAATTTTGGTTTCTGCTTTCGGCAATGAGACGATTACATAAAAGACCGTCAAAGGTGTTGAGAAGCAATAGACGATGATAACCGTCACCTTGAAAGAAGAAGAAAAAAAATCATTTAGGCGTTTAATGAAATGTTGGCAAGGTCCAGTTGTCTATATGCAGGTATTCTTTGGAAAGCTGAAAGTTTGAAATAGTCACTAGTGACGTTCCTCCACATATTTGGCCCCAAAACCTTATTCGAAAATGGGGTGGGTGGGGTTAAAGAATACAAAAAACAAACAAAAAAAAAAACATTTCTTTGCATAAGTACTTGCCGCAAAAATATGCATTATATATATATATATATATATATATATATATATATATATATATATATATATATATATATGTATGTATGTATGTCACAGCGAAATTGTCCACTGGACTCATTTTTCCTCGTCGCGGATGTAACAAATTAGACAAATAGGTCATTACATCTGTATCGCGAGTTGGCTTCTCAGTGAGGTCTTGTGTCAAACTTAAGCTTCGGAAATGATTTTGAAAAGGTGTTTTTTTTTTGTTTTGTTTTTTTACACTTGTAGCTTCATGTGTTTTCTTTACTTTTTATTCATTAACCCTAGAACACTAACAATGGGTATATAGTACCCAGTGCAAATGACATCATTTAGTGTGCGTATGGTTCCCGCGCTCTCAGAGATCCCACCTGCTTAGTAGCTTCAGTTGCCCACATGATAGTGTAGGGGAAGGTTGTGCCGTCTTGCTCTCTCTACTTCCCAGTGCTGTAGGCCTGCGTTTGGGTAAGGTATACCCATGGTTGGTGATACGTGGTTTTGTGCACGGCGGGTATAGCCTACCCAGGATAGTGTTTACGTACTATTTTAGCGATCAACGGTACAAATCAAGTTTATTCAAAATGGCTTTGAGTAAGAAATCAATTACAGACAATAAAATAGAGGCTATTTTATGTGAGAGTTCTGATGATGAAGTGGATAATTTAGAGTTTGAAGAATTATATGACAATGACATTGATACTGAATATGTGAAAGAACCTAGTGACAATAATGACTTGGAGGATGTATCTCCAAGAAAGAAAAAGAAAGTAGTGCGTGTTAACCTTGCCTTGCCTATGGTAGGCCCTGCTACTGCCCTTGTTGCTGGCCCTGCTGCTCCACCTACTGCTGCTCCCCGTGGACGACGACGACGTACTGTACCTCAAACAGATTGTGATGAGTTTGTACGCTTCAATACAGCTAACATTAGGTCTAGAAAAGGGTTTATGTGGAGCACTGGGCCAAATGCAGGAGCAGTATGCACTCCTGCAAAAAATATATTACATGGTGTCCGGCCTGACCCCTCCCAACAAGCTTCCCAAGCCGACATCCCAAAGAAGTATTTCTCTTTGTTGTTTGTGGATGAAATCATCAATGAAACTGTGTAGGGGACCAACCAAAAAATAAACATTATCAGCAAAATACAAGCATCAGAAGACCACAATACAACCTACAACACTTGAGGAGATACGTGCCATGTTTTGGGTCCTCATTTTTAGTGGCTACAGGAGAGAATCACTAAGGAAGTCTGAAGCCCTAAAGCTGGTTCCAATTTCTACTGGGCAGCTATGTCTGAGGAGCGCTTTACTTTCCTCCTCAACTGCCTACGCTTTGATGACTAATACCAGAGAACAGCGAAGAGGAACCGATAGGTTTGCCACAATCAGGAAGGTATGGGATATTTTCATCGAGGCCTGTGGCACCCATTATATCCCACATGATTTCCTGACTGTTGATGAGCAGTTGCCTTCCTTCCGTGGCCGCTGCCCAGTTCGCATGTACATCCTAAATAAACCAGCGAAATACGGCATCAAGATCGTCATGGTAAATGATATCAAGAGGAAGTACATGCTGTCAGGGATCCCCTATCTTGGGAAGCTTCCTGTTCACGAAGGACATTACACTGATGTCGTATGCGCCCAACACCCCTTCCAGTAAGAAAATTGTCCTCCTCATGTCTTCAACGCATGGAGAGAAGTCCTTGGCCAGCAGTAGAAAGCCAACCATCATCGAGGACTACAACAGGACAAAAAGGAGTCGACACTTTCGACCAAATGTGTGGTCAATATTCGTGTGACAGGAAGACCAAGTGGTGGCCGCTCTCTCTGTTCTATGGCATACTGAACGTTGTGGTCATCAACTCCTGGATGATCCATGGGGAAAATATGCAGAAGACAGGTGGCAGACAGATGAAGAGAAAGCAGTTTATGTCGGTGTTGGCTGAGGAACTGGTGAAACCCTGGGCAGTGCAAGTCACACTCTGCCGAGGCGGCTCAAGGATCATATATGCACTATTTTTGAGTTGTCCACTCCCACTGGACCTTTAAGAGTTTCTGGACTATCTGCAGCAGACATGAGGGAGACCATGGTGCGCTGTGTTGTCTGTCCCACGAAGGCAGACAAAAAAAAACAAAAAAAACACGCTTCCGGTGTGTGTCAACGTGCTACGTGTCCCAAACACTATTACACTGTGTGTAGCAACTGTATATGAGGCTGAGGTAAGTAGAAATGCACCTGAAGATTTTATTTACTTGTACATAACAAATAAATAGTCAGTTGCTACAGTCATTTTAATTAAAAAAAATTATTACTATAAAAAAAGTGATTTTAGTGGCAGATAAAATAAGGCCTTTTTCCACGTCTCGTCGCTACAGAAGCCGCAGCAGCTCAGGACCAGTACCCTCTTCAGCAGTGGCTCACAGGACCTGGAAAGCCGTATGAGGAGTTTGGAAGTCATCGGAGGATAATTTTTTATTATTTTTTTTTAATTTTGAAAAATTTTCCTATTTTTAATTACAATTTTCAGCACCTGATTTTCTTAACTAAATGTTTTTTCAGTTCCTATTAATTGTAATGCAAAGTACAAAGTTTGAAGTGCCTGAATGTAAAATATTTCAAATAAAGATTTATATTTAATTTTTTTTTTTTGTTTTGTTCAAAATCGGGTATGATATACCCATGATTAGTAGTGGTGTAACTTTAATTGATGGTTAGTGTTCTAGGGTTAATGAGAGAGAGACAGAGACAGAGAGAGACAGAGACAGAGAGAAAATACGAGAGACAGAGACAGAGAGAAAATACGAGAGAGAGAGACAGAGAGAAAATACGAGAGAGACAGAGAGAAAATACGAGAGAGACAGAGAGAAAATACGAGAGAGAGAGAGAGAAAAATACGAGAGACAGAGACAGAGAAAAATACGAGAGAGACAGAAAAAAATACGAGAGAGAGACAGAGAGAAAATACGAGAGACAGAGACAGAGAGAAAATACGAGAGACAGAGACAGAGAGAAAATACGAGAGACAGAGACAGAGAGAAAATACGAGAGACAGAGACAGAGAGAAAATACGAGAGACAGAAAGAAAAAAATACGAGAGAGAGACAGAGAAAAACGAGAGACAGAGACAGAAAAAATACGAGAGACAGAGACAGAAAAAATACGAGAGACAGAGACAGAAAAAAATACGAGAGAGAGACAGAAAAAAATACGAGAGAGAGACAGAAAAAAAATACGAGAGAGAGACAGAGAGAAAATACGAGAGAGAGAGACAGAAAAATACGAGAGAGACAGAAAAAATACGAGAGAGACAGAAAAAATACGAGAGAGACAGAAAAAATACGAGAGAGACAGAAAAAATACGAGAGAGACAGAAAAAATACGAGAGAGACAGAAAAAATACGAGAGAGACAGAAAAAATACGAGAGAGACAGACAGAGAGAGACAGAAAAAATACGAGAGAGACAGAAAAAAAATACGAGAGAGACAGAAAAAATACGAGAGAGACAGAAAAATACGAGAGAGACAGAAAAAATACGAGAGACAGAAAAATACGAGAGACAGACAAAAAATACGAGAGAGACAGAAAAAATACGAGAGAGAGAAAAATACGAGAGAGAAAAAATACGAGAGAGACAAAAAATACGAGAGACAGAGAGAGAGACAGAAAAAATACGAGAGACAGACAGAGAGAGACAGAAAAAATACGAGAGACAGACAGAGAGAGACAGAAAAAATACGAGAGACAGAGAGAGACAGAAAAAATACGAGACGCAGAGAGAAAGAAAAAATACGAGAGACAGACAGAGAGAGACAGAAAAAATACGAGACAGAGAGAGAGAAAGAAAAAATACGAGACAGACAGAGAGACAGAAAAAATACGAGAAAGACAGAGAGACAGAAAAAATACGAGAAAGACAGAGAGACAGAAAAAATACGAGAAAGACAGAGAGACAGAAAAAATACGAGAAAGACAGAGAGACAGAAAAAATACGAGAAAGACAGAGAGACAGAAAAAATACGAGAAAGACAGAGAGACAGAAAAAATACGAGAAAGACAGAGAGACAGAAAAAATACGAGAAAGACAGAGAGACAGAAAAAATACGAGAGACAGAGACTGTTGTTGTGGCGGTATGTTCATGGGTGAGAAATAATTGGAAAAGTAGATAGTGAAAACGCAAAAATAAAGTATATAAAAAGTAGAGGAAGTGAGTGTTAAAGAGATTTCAGTGGAGAAGGAGAGAGCAAATCATGAGTTCATGATTTTACCTTCCCTTTCCACTAAATAAATAAGTATTACCTAACAACCATAAATAAGCAAATAAAAACGGCAGTAAAATAAATCCTCACACAAAAGGAGGGACAAGTTTTGCAATCTTAAATGTACCAAGAAAAGTCCTTATCTGTGACCGTTTGCTACAAGACAAAATAGGTTCACTGTTTACTTAATATGGAAATGAAGTTTTAATGATAGACTATTAATATCATAGGAGTATCATTTGTGTGTGTGTGTGTGTGTTGTATGTGTGTATAAAATGATGAGAAAGTGGAAACTTTATTAACGACGCGTTTCGATGAGAGCGTATTCTTCCTTTGCCTTCTTCAGGTTAGAATGAAAGAATGAAAGCTGTGTGTGAGGAAATGGATGTGTGAATCATAAATCAAATTAAATTACATTAACTTATCACCTCACTATGTCCAGTATCTGAACGCCCATTTGCTTTATCTATATTAGAGCCGTTTGGTATGGTTGGAAGCAGGAAGTGAGATATAAGAACGAATTTGTAAACAATGACTATTACTATTAACATTACAAGACTCTTCCCCTTTCCTGAACTGAGCTCTTTCGGTCATTGGCGTGTTTATTCAGAGAATGAGAACGTAAAAATTCGCCTTTCTTTCAACCGTGCGCTGATGGCTTAGGTGGAAAGTCTGACTGTTACAGTCGGATTTCGTTCCCAGCTTGAAGCAATCGGATGTCTATTAATGAGCTGTGATACAGCGAAACTGTCTGACTGTTGATGATTATTATATATATATATATATATATATATATATATATATAAAAAACTAGCAGTAGAGCCCGACGTTGCCCGGGGATGTAACAGTAAGAAATAGATCAAGTATCGACCATCATAAAGACTGAAAAATAAAATTGACAAAGATTATTGTTTAAGGTTGACGGACACGCATGTCTTAATTTTTTTTTTTTTTTTTACGAATTAGTCAAACCCAAACAAAAACATTGTTTTCATTCGTTATGATGAGTCTACCGATTGAATAGAATTTTATTATAAACAATTGTCTTGTAAATGGAATTTTTAAAGCATTCTGAATGTAAAAATAAAGAAAAAAGTGTGCAAGACAATAAGAAACACTACCTGCCAAAAAAAGTGAAGTTTTGTTGAAATCGGTTGAAAAATGTAGGAAATCCGATCCCATATATAAACGAACACACACACACCTGGGTTTTATAAGTATAACTCGATATGAGTTGTCCCCCTTTCATTCTGGCGACAGAATCGTGTTTTGAAATTGATTTCGTGCAAAAACAATTGTGTTTTTCCAATTTTTGGCGCTTTCAGAACCACCGCAAGATAATTTTACGCAGTCCTGTGAAGTTTTGTTGAAATCGGTTGAAAAATGTCGGGAATCCGATACAATATATAAACATACAGACACACACACACACACACAATATCTGCGTTTTATAATAAGTAAAATGTACGATTTGTCACGAAGGTAACTTCTTGGCGTTATCGGCCTAAGGTGATCCTAGCGTGCAGCACCCCTGGAAAGTGCCCGAAAACCATATCAATCCTTGTGAGTAAAATCGAGTAAACCGAACTATTTGGGAGTCGTCGATAGTTGTGCTAGAACAAGCAAGTCAGCGTGACAGAGTTTGAGCGTGCTGGCCTTCCTCAGGCTGTTGATCACGCCAGATAATTCGCTCTCTTCACCCCCCCGCTACAAACTGTAACTAAGGATAGTTATAGCATAGTTGTAATATAAACAACAGGTGGTCACTTTGGGTGTCGAAAAAACACAAATGTGCCTTCGCAGTAGACAGGCATCCTCGGATACGAACTACTACTACTATTATTATTATATATAACTAAAGCGTTTCAGAGGCTAAAACAAAATATCTTTTACTTGTAAACAATAAAAGACGGTCATTTTTTAATGGGTGTATTCAAAATACACGATACAGATATAAAACAGGAGAGATAATCCTCAAAGTTGGTAGATGGACCTCTTTAGCCTTGGAGGGCTGTTCATGTAAGTTAAGGAAAATGCTAAATCTTGCTGCTATACCTAACCACGAGGACGTCTTCGAGAGTCAACCTTGAGGATAAAAATTGTAAAAGGACTCCCAAAGACAGCTACACCAACCTCTTCATGGCCACTCCAAAGATGACACGAGTAGCAAAGGGTGCAGGCTCTTTCCATTAGGTGGGACAATATCGGTAGCGTAAAGAAGGGAGATGTATTGCATGGTCAACTGTTCATCATCCATTTACATAATCCTAGCAAGCAGAAGACACCCCAATGTCTCCGCTATTGATAACAGACACGGTGCTACCACCATCTGTTAAAACAAAAACTCTCTCCACGCGAAGATACACGTTCTCTCTCGACCGATGTATGTAATAAGCAAATGTGTTTTTTGTTTTTTTGATTTAGATATTGATAAAGATTGTGTAGCCATGTCGAAGTATTTGTCTAGTTTTAAAATCAGTACTTAAAATCATTTTGCTGATAGTTCTCGAAGAGCGTCGCTATCATTTCAAATAAAGTGACAGAAGATGGGCATTGTATATTTTACAAGTTCGTAATTGTACCACTTCATCTCTATACAATGCTAAAAGTCTATAAATACGTGCGTGCATGTGTGATGCGTCCATCTGGCGCATAATGATTTACGAGTTTTTTATTTGTATTTTTATTGTAACTTTCTTCGAACACAATTTTTTTTTTCATTAAAATATTTTTAAGTTAAAAACACAAAAACATTCCGTTTTGTTTTTTCTGTCCAGTTGTTTGTAGAGTAATTGTTTTTATTTCTGCGTTCTTTAAACAAACAATATTTTAAATATTTAAAAAAATATTTTCAAGTGAATATGATTTTAAAATTTTTTTTGCATATTAAAAAATATTTTTAAGTTAATCTTATTTAAAGTTCAAGATAATCACGGAAGTTCTAGTCCTATTAAATGCTGTCAACAATCAGTAAAACGTTAAACATGAACTTGTAAACCAGACCAATGATGGCGCGAAAAAAAAAAAAAAAAAAAAAGGAAGTATCTAACGGAATCATAATAAAATTAACTTTCATATCAATGAAATGTTGAAATCAACTTACGAAAGAATTCAGCATTTAAAATAACTTCAGAATATATATCTTTTTCTCTTCTGATACTGTTTAAAAGGTTTCCGTTATTTTTAAAAAAATATTTTTTTAACCAATACTATTTTCTGTGTTTAAGTAACAGTAGCAAGTTACACTTATGTACTATTCTCTTCAGAACGTGGGCAATCATGGTTCTTTTTCCTCACAGTGTATTTATTAACGAGCACCTCAGCGTAGGCTTATGGTTAAGGAGATCGTCTGTTCAGTATTACTACTCAGATTTTAGAGTCTCGCCGAGTGCTCCATAGACGTAGCCTTGTGCTAAATTAAATTTTTTTTCTGGCTATATCTCTGAGACGATGTATTATTGTTTACATTATTTACATTATCTTCATTGCCATATTAACAACGTTTCGGTTGTTGTACGTCCGTCCTTCTTCAGGTGAATGGAATTTCGAACCGAACCTTTTATTTCGCCCACTTGAATAGATTTTCTAGTTCTGGGCATTGGATAAAGACATTGGTCAGATCCAATGACTAAAATCAAAGAGTTGCGAGTTCAATGACGGGCTACAGCAGTGGTGAACCAAAAAAGTTGAGTTTAAGGGAAATAACAGACATCCGGAAGAGGCATGGCACCTGGAAATAGAACAATCTACCCCAGTGGACGAAATAAAAAGGTTCGGTTCGAAATTCCAGTCACCTGAAGAAGGCCGGAGAGTACAACAGCCGAAACGTTGTGAATATATCAATGAAGATGAGGATAACAATCCAAATAATGTAAATAGTAATTTTGTTTAATTCGCGCTACCCAAATCGTTTTAATATATATCCATTTCTGACCTATCATGGCAAATATCTGTGGGTGTTTTTTATAGATCGTTTGTCCATCTGATGAGCTACAATTTTTTTTTAAGCATTACGCCCCAAGCAAGGCGTGAAGCCACTAGGATGCAGGGGGTTGCAGAAGATTTGGAGCGAGAGCGGATAGGAGTGATAGAAGAAAGGATGAGGAGAAGGATAGTGGGTAGATCAAGGTAACTGGAGGTGTCGATTGACATTACATTTGAATAGTTGGAGATTGTGGCTCTCAGGGAAACAGTAATTGGGAAGGGTGTTCCACAGGCGAGAGGTGCGAGGTATGAAGCTATTGGAGTAGAAGAGACGGCCACATTTAAAAGTTTCTACAGTGTAAGGGTGGGAGCGGGATGCCAGCCTCGTAGGACGCTTGAATTCATGGAGTCTAGGAACCAGTGAAAACAGCTCATCGGAGCAATTACCATGAAAGTATTTGTAGAAAAGAGAGAGAGGCGACGGCGCGTCTGTGAGAGAGTGACTGTAGACGCCAGATCAGAGCCAATTACATTACATATCCATCTCTGGATCTTGTCAAGAACTCAGAGGTAAACAGAAGGTGCCCCAGACCATATATGGCAGCAATACTCCATGCAAGGGCGAATGGTTGATTTGTATATTTGAAGTATCCATTCCGGGGAGAAAAAATTCCTGGCGCGGCACAGAGAGCCAACTTTCCTAGCGGTGGAAGAAGCAATTGACTCAATGTATTTGTTCCATCTCAGGTCAGCAGTCAACGTGAGACCGAGCAGACGCAGGGAGTTGCTCTCAAGCTGTTAAATTTAGATTCCTTTTGTTATAATTAAAATTCAAGTTATGCCACACTAACTTCCTCTTTATCCTCCGTTGTACTGTAAAATTCTTATTTTATCTCTCAACTGATTGTTAGTAATTTAAAACCTCAGGTACGCATGCCGTAAAAAATGACGGCAATT